CCCCCCCCCAAATCCCCCACAAAAAGTGATGACATGTGTGGGAGACCTTTGGAGAGCCTCCAGGCGACAACAATAGCCCACCGAATTCCAACGTCTCCACTCTCCTCTACGATGATGACATGAAGAGGTTGAGCACTACACTGTCACCTTCTTCTGGCTTCTCTTGTTGTTCTATTCCGGATTTTGTACTTCCACCTCAAAGTGGTTCGCATGATGCAGCGTTTCTCATCGTTTCAGCGATGGAAATGATATTATTACCTCTCATGTTATATCTCTGCGATGGTGAAGCCGCAAGTCATGATGCCAACCCTCGGCTTTGGGGTCATCTCAGTCTCATTTCTGCTACGACTGCCAATTTTCTGAGCAATAGTGAGTAGATGTCACGCTAAAATAATGGTGATCACCGTATCATTGTAGCATTTCATAAAGGTGCCTTTTACTCCCCCAAATTTTGTGGGCTTTTGTTCCTTTCTAATACCCACCTTTATTTTTTGGTAGGAAGAATCCGTGGATAGTAGCCAAGAAAGACGAACACATTCTCACCAGTAGAGCAATGAGTTTTGCATTGGACAACCTATTGAATGCTGAATGGCGGCGTCCGAAATTTTATCCTGAGGACATCTATGAACCTTATCATCGAAGAACCGGTGTTCCGTGGGACTATGACCTCCACAAGCGTCGATTCTACCCGTAAAAGGTGTACGAAAGAAGCTAGCAATTTTTTGATGTCTAATAGATAAGTTAAGAAGTGTCTAACGTCGTCCACCTCTGTTGCTTTGTACAAATATGATTATATTCGCGGTCCGCGACTCTACATGCGAAGTTACATTCTAAAAGCACATCTTTTTTGCCGATGCTTTGACATAGGCAGCAAATTCGCATTGTATCCACTCTCTTGCTCGGTCATTTGTGTGTGTAGTTCCTCCGTCACTTCACGTCTCACACATTCGAAATGCCATCCTTAGACGCGTCTTGTGCTTGATCTCCGATCATCGACAGGCTTGGTGATGTGTTGGTTAGCCACGTCTCTTTCTGCATGCGAATTTGGTTGTCATAGCAACTCACATTCTCAGGCACTGGTGGAGTCCTCAATCTCGACAATATGGACAAATAATACGGTAGAAATACCAGAGGAGGTTGGTTTGCTACTGCCTCAAAAGTATCGTAGTTGGAATAAGAGATTGGGAAATCGGCAAATAAATTCAGGAAGTCTGAATTGGCATACAAATGCTAATAACACTTCTGTACAATCTTCAATATTTAAAAGCTTGATAGTATGCCTCCTCTTCGATTCGCGTTGTCATCATCCTCAGGCCTTGATGCGTTTAGTCTCCATTCGGGCAGCAGGAGAAGGTGATGCGACCTGCTCCTTCCCGTGTCACTCAAAAATGTGGGTTGCGAGTTGCTCCACGCTTATTGTCACAGAGTCTGACATACACTCCTAAGCAGGAGCTCGTATTCCATAAAGCAACTAACAGCAGCGCCTTTCGCTTGGTACCACTCACAACAGGCTATTTCCTGTGCTTGCGTATTGAAGGTACGCGCACAAATGTGGGGCGCTAAGTCATTTTCGAAATAACAACGAACACCTGCAGTTCAACGAAGATGGAGAACCCTCCTTCTATTTGTGCAGATCACAAAGTGTACAGACAGAAAACAAGGGGAAGAAAGGCAGCCACAGATATTAAAATTGGTAGGACGTAAACAGAATAATCAGTGGAAGCGTAAGGATCCGGCGCAGGTGGTTTTTCTAATGATGAAGGCATGGGCAATCGTCGAGGTCTTTGGGAGAAGTCTACATCACCTTTGGCGTTGCCATGAAGAGGTGACATCGTTGATGACGCCAGTGGGTCCTGTGGCTCAAAACCATCTCCCTCTTCCAAGTAGTCCAGTGGAGGTAATTTAGGAATATCTAAACCAAATACAAAACTAGCCTTGTCGCACCTTCGATGGTGTTCTTAAAGAGTGCGATTGCATTCACCTTGGGATTGTCATGGTTACCCTAAAGAGAGGAAAGTATTTTGAAGTTAAAACCTATTGCAACAACATATGGCAAATTAAAATTTTGCATTACCTTCACGAAAGTTATTCGCAACTTTCCGTCGTTTGATAGCTTCGCGCTGGCGTCTCCTACAAGAATACTACCATCCTTAATGGTGAGAGGAATATTTTCATCGTGAGCCACAGAGAATCCGACTTTTCGAAAAATGTCTAGATCCCGGATAATTCTCAAACCATTCAGTTCGACAGAAAAAACCTGAAAGCACAAGAATTCTATACCAAAAATAAAAGATCAAAGCCCACAAAAGCTACATATTGGCCATAACTCACCTTCCCATTAGGATATTGAAACCAAACCTCCGAAAACTTTAAGTGTAGCACATATTTACCATCAGCGGGAATAGGGAACTCATAGAAAAATGATGAGGTATCATAACGCTCCGTTTGGTACAAAACGGCGTCAGACTCAGGAGCTCTGTGCATCACCAAGTTCAGTCCATGGCCAGAAGCAATGCCACGATCATTAAAATCCGCAAAATACAGAACTCCATTACTGTCAATATGTTCATCACCACCGCAATTAACAGCAAAGACAGGATTTAATTTAGCCGCAAGATTGCCACGAACGACAAGGCAGAACACTACGCGAACAACGGCCCAAATCATATTTGTGCCAGATTGCAACTTGGAAAAACACAGGCGATAACTTAAACTTCTACAATGCAATTAGCTATGTGTTGAAAGCTGAAAATATAAACAACTTTAAATGTTCAGGGGATTCGGATTATTAAGCAAAGGTAAAGCTCATTAAGTGGTACTAAGTGCATGTATCCTAGGATGGGCAATGAGGCTGCGTCTAAGTTTGGAGCGAAGACCAGCTCATTTGCAAAGGGCCGGACGAAAATTAAAGAAAACGCCAGACATCGAGTGATTACACTACCAAAGTATTGTTGAGGTGGCCTACAAGCTAATACATAACCTCTTTTCTTTGCCTATGGTAACATGCGCATTAGACGATCTTAGCCATGTGAAAGTTGCAATAAAGATAACCAATAAATTGTAGCTATACTTTTAATATAACAATCTTCAAAGATACTTCTAAATGAATGTCAACTAGTTAGGGAAGAGGTGTTAAGGAAATATTGCCCTTATAAAAGCAAAAGATTGCTTTCGCGCAAACGTTATTGTATCACATCGCAATTTTTGAAAAATGGGCATTAATTTCATCTACAATTTTAAAAGGGGATATATTAATGGGTCAAAGGAATGACGCTTAGACCGCCTACGAATACAAGGGCACAAGGAATACAGAAGAGACCAACATTCATTTATGTTGTCACATACACAAAGTGCCAATTATTACTAAACGTAGAAAACTATTAATACAAATCATTCTTCGAATTTGGGGTAGAAGAACATTAGAAGGGAATCTAATAACGACTTTTATTAACTTTGAATCATTAATCGCCAAAACGCTTGATAAAGATAAGAAAGATTGTTCTCGCAAAGAGGCATCGCCCAAATCCAGACGATTCTCCATTATGGCATCGCAGTTGTTCGCGATCAGGAGTCATAGCATCTGGCGCAAATTCCATCCACTCATCGTGCACTCCCCTGACTGTTGGAAGGCCTTCAAACCCAAATTATGTGTGTGCCAATCGCTGTAAGGTGGACCGATTGCCAATGAGAGCTGCTACACATCCCACCGACATCGCAGACACATCAACTTTGTCGTGCACTGCCTCCACGGAGGTTCGAGAGAGAGGCGCTGGACGCTTCTAGAGGCGAGACAAAGTTCAGGTCGCATCTGCACTTAACGCCACGCCAACACAACCACTCGTACATGTCGTCCTCACAACCTGCACGACATGAGACGCTGCTCAACAGTTTCGACTGCCGCACTGCTAGTGAAAACATTCATCAAGGAGGACTGCCTTGCACTCCTTCCACAACTGTTACCAAAAGGCGATTTTATGATGTGAAGTGACAAAATTGAACAACTCCAGGCGTCGTCCAGCAATCGGCAGTCTGCGACACCGAATGGACGCTGGAGTAGACGCTGTTTCCTAAGTCTCCTTTGTGGGGCAAAGACGGAGATTCACTTCCACCGCATCTGCTTGAAGAGCGATGTGCTCAAAGCCACATCCCACCCTCCTTGCCTCCTCACCATGCCCAATCAAGCCTCTTAGTAGAAGAGACGACCTTCTTCCGAGGCCAAACAGACGGCGGCTCCACAGCCAAGAGCAGCATGCACAAGTACTTCCGTCATCGCATTGCCTCGCCTCTCCACTTGAGCGTGCAGGTGGACCTACAACAGCACAATCACTCCACCGCGGAGGCCAAAGTGTACCGCCTCCAAGCACTGGTGACTGGGCGATCTGTCTGCTGTCAAATTTTTACAAGCCTCGCATGTCAAGTGGATGTGTCGATGTCGTATTTGATCACCCCACCGCCAGCACCAAGTCCAATCCCACACGTCAACAGTGATGACAGCAAAAAGAAAAAAAAATCTTCAATTGCGACAATTTCAAGTATCACCGATTTGCATCACCTCACAACTGTTTATTGTCTAAAGTTGTAGCACTTTTCCTGTCAAACTTCCTAATCAAACCGCTTGCTTTTGTCATCACTTGGTGACTCATGTGGTGAGAATGCAGAACATCGTCGGTGTTGGGGAGTGTGATTTACCTCTCCGATGAAATCACAAATCTCGTCATTGCGACAAAATGAGTTTTCCCATCGGTGTGAGGAGGAGGAGGAGGAGAAGAGGGACAGTTTTGTCAGTGATTGTGTTGTAATGCTTTGTTTGCGCGATCATCAGATGCTTGTGAGCCACTTTTGCGATTCATCTTGCCGCATGCTGTGTGGGCTGGCCTTTGGAGCGGGCCAGGTGTCCATCCCTTCCCCCCCCCACCCCCTGCCCCAGATGCATGCAGTCAGTCCACCTTAATGTCTTCTTCTACCCAGTCGGAAGTGCTGGGGTGATGCAATTTTGTTGAAGTGTCTCCAAACTTTCCATTTGGTAGATGGCAGCATTGGAGAGGGGTGAGTACTTGTGTTTGGAGAGCAAAGAAAGATCCGCAGGTTGGTTCACACAGCCAAGAGTAAGGCAAAATCTCCAAAGTTGAGTAAATTTGGTATAACATTGCTCTACTTTATCCGTCAAGCAACGTCCTTTGTGTCTCTCCTCCGCACCCTTCTGCTCCACCTTTAAAGAGGCAGTTGCCATGACAGAAGAAATAGTTGCATTGGACAAACAGGACAGAAATTAGAGAACACAACTTCTGTTTACTGTCAATTATGTCCACAAATAAACATTAAAAGCACTGATCTGGGGCAAATGCGTTAAAAAAGCTAAAGAAGGATAAAACAAAATTCTTATTCAAAAATTAGACTCAGCAGAATATCATCGCTGATATCTGTACGCGAAGGGGAGTACGGAGAACTCCTAAAATGCGCCCATTTGGATGGTTCGCGTCAGTGTCGCTTCACGCAGAACACGAAGGTAAAGCAGATGCTGACAGAAGTTGAC